CTGAGCGGTGACCCGGGGCTGGGCTCCGTCGCGCGTCTGGCGCTGGAGGGTTTCCACCGCGCCGCGGCGCGCGCAGCCGCCCGAGTGCCGCGCCCGCTGGGCTCCGTGACGTTCTCTTTGTGTTTACGAAGCCGCCCGAAGCACATGATTACCCCGACGGCCAGATCCTTCGTGTGCGATCGTTCTATGGCCAGGAGGAGGATGCTCGGGGCCAGCCAGGAGGGGGTGATGACCAGGGGGGGTTGGATAGCGTGGTCTGGGCCATGATGTCTCCCCGATGTCGTGGCCCTGTCTTGTTATCTCGCTGCATTCTCTGGCTCCCCCCTCGTCCGCGCACATGCCATGGGCCGTGTTCTGCGAACTTCCCTGTGGGGCGCCCCCCTCCTGGATGTCCCCGGGATAGGACGAATGAGGTCGGTGGGGGCAGGAGGAGGGGTGGCAAGCAGGGAAGTGCGTCGGAGGGGACCCGCGTTCTGCCGTTCCGGACGACGCTGGCGAAAGTTAGCGCATCGAACCTACTCGAAAGCGTAAGTTCTCCTGGTCTGACTTGGGCCTAGGGGCGAGAGCAGCATTCATTCGACTCGCTGGCGCGCGACCTTGCTTCTGATGGTGGTGTCGAAGCGTGCACGGCAAGCAAGGCATCATGGCTGAACTGATCTTTAGACCTCCCAGATGGGGTCCGAGAAGATGGGGTCGGAGGATCGCGCGGCGTCGCCGATGCGTCGGCGAGATGCCCACGATAATGCCGATGATATCCTGCACTACTGTGCCTATCCCCCTTCTGCTCCGCCCTGCCTCGGCTTCTGCCTGCCCCCCATCGCTCCTGGGGGGCGGATCCAGTCGAGTGCATTCTTCCGTGTCGGTGACCGAGAGGGTGCGATCGGACGTGTTCGTGCGCGACCGCACTGGATCTTTTATTTTCGGCTTTCGCTTCTGCATAGGCAGGATCTCTGGTGTCGGGACCTCAGCTCATGGCTGCTCGCCTGCGCTCAGGGGCGCGGCGCTCAGCTGCTCTGCGATTGACGGCAGTGGGGCCTCCCCTTCCCCCCTCTTCTGGACCGCGCGATGCTCCTCTTCCGCCTCTTCCTCGCTCCTCCTCATTATCTTCCTCCTCCTCCTTTTCCTCGCTCCCCCTCCTGCTTCTCACTCCTCCTCGCTTCTCGCTTATCGCTCATCTCCCCTCGCTCCTCCCTCTTCGTTTCGCGCCCTTCGCGCCTCGCTCCTTCCCCTCTTCCTCGCTCCTCGCACCCCGCTCCTCCTCCTCCTCCTCTTCCTCCCTCCTCCTCCTCCTCCTCCTCCTTTTCCTCCTCCTCATCCTCCTTACTTCTTTTCCCCTCGCTGCTCCTCCTCATCTTCCTCCTCTCTCCTCCTCTTGCTCTTCCTCCTCCTCCTCTTCCTCCTCCTCCTCCTCGTGCTCCTCCTCCTCCTCCTCCTCCTCCTCCCCTCGATCCTTGCTCCGACTCGCTGACCGTCTTCGCTCGTCGGCGCTGCTCCTCTCCTCGCTCTTCTTGCTGCTTCTCCTTCTCCTCCTCCTCCTCCTCCTCCTTCTCCTCGCTTTTCCCCCTCGCTCCTCGCTCGCTCGCTCGCTCGCGCCTCCTCCTCCTCCTCCTCATCATCATCTCCCGCCACCTCCTCCTCATCGTCCTTGCTCCTCCCCCTCGATCTTCGCGCCTCGCTCCTCGCTTCTCTCTCCTAGCTCCCAGCTGCTCGTTCCTCGCTCCCCTCCTCCCCCTCCCCCTGGTCCTCCTATTCCTCCTCCTCCTCCTCCTCCTCGCACGTCGCTCCCCGCTCCTCGCTTCCCCCTTCCTCGCTCCTCGCTCATCGCCCATCCCCCTCCTCCTTCTCCTCCTCTTCCACCGCCTCCTCCTCCTCCTCCTCCTCCTCCTCCTCCTCCTCGCTCATCTCTCCTCTCCCACCTCTTCCTCCCTCTCCCGCTCCTCGCAGCTCGCTCCACGTTGCCCCCTTCCTCGGCCCTCGCTCCTCCTCATTCTCTTCTACCTTCGCGCTCGCTCCTTCTCTTCTTCCTCCTCCCGGTCCTCGTGGCCCTCTTTCCTCCGCCTCGCTCATCGCTCCGTATATCCTTTCTGCTCGCACATCGCTCCACGCTCCTCGCTCCTCGCTACTCGCTCCTCGCCCCTGGCTCCTCGCTCCCCCTCGTCGTCCTCCTCCGTCCCGCCCCCTCCTCTTCTTCTCCTCCTCCTCCTCCTCCTCCTCCTCCTCCTCCTCCTCCTCCTCCCCCTCCTCCTCCTCCTCCTCGTCCTCTTCCTCCCCCCCCTCGTCCTCCTCCTACTCCTCCTCCTCCTCATCTTCCTCTTCCTCTTCTTCATCCTCTTCGTCCCTCTTTCCTCCCCCCCTCCTCTTTCCCCTTCCTCCTCCTCCTCCTCCTCCTCCTCCTCCTCCTCCTCCTCCTCCTCCTCTCCTCTTCCTCTTCCCCCTCCCCTCCTTTATCCTCCTCCTCGCTCCTCCTCCTGGCGCCTCCATCTCATCATCCCCTTCGCTCCTCTTCCTCCGCCTCGCACGTCCTCCTCCTCCTCCTCCTCCTCCTCCTCCTCCTCTCCTCCTCCTCTCCTCCTTCTCCTCCTCCTCCTCCTCCTCCTCCTCCTCCTGGGTGTACGCTGGGATATCGTGGAAGGTCTCCATCGGGAGGCCGTTTCAACGCCTCTTGGGGGCCGTTTTGGGGCCTTTTGGGGGCCTCTTTGGGGCCTCTTGGGGCTCCCTGGGGGCGTCTGGGGCCGAGGGTCGGAGAAGTCTGTTCGGGTACCCCGTCTCGGCCTCCTCCTGGAGCCGTCTTGGGGGCCTCGTGGGCCGTCTTGGAGGCCTATTGGGCCATTTTGGGGCCGTCTTGGGCCGTCTCGGGGGCCTCTTGGGCCGTCTTGGGGCGATCTTGGGGGCTCCTGGACCGTCTTGGAACGTCGAGAAGCCGAAAAGGCGAGAACCTCAAAAACTTTCAACAACCATCGCAAATCAATGGACTTTGCCTCTTAGGGCCCTCTTGGGGAGCCTCGTGGAGGCCTCTTGGACCGTCTTGGAGGCCTCTTGGGCCGTCCCGGATGCCTTTTGGGCGACGTTTCAAGCCTCTCGATCCCGTGGGAGCCGTCTTGGAGGCCATCTTGGCCCCTCCTGGGCTCTCTTGAGGCCTCGGGAGGCCTCTCGCGAGGATGCCAGGGCGTGTTAGATCTGGGTCTTCGCCTGCCGCCCCCTCGAACTCCCCCTAGTTCTCCTCCTCCTCCTCCTCCTCCTCCTCCTCCTCCTCCTCCTCCTCCTCCTCCTCCTCGACTAACCGATCGCACGTTACGCGCGCTTTCCGTCATCGGGCTCAGCTTTTGCTTGGAGGCGAAAAATTCAGCACCCCGCTCTCTCGCGCGCGGCCCAACTGTCAATACTGCTGGCGAGCTGGAGTCACGCTGTGAGCACAGTTTGCAGGACGAATCTGCGCGGCCATTCCGGGCGAGGTAGACATCCCCATCTCTCGTGCGCGGTCCCGCTTCCAACGACCTTCTTTGGAAACGCATATTCCGCGTCGGAGGGCAGACAGATCTTCAAGGGACAAACGTGCGGCGTGGAAACGAAATCGACAGATGGTCCGTTGGTGCGCAATGCGCAGCGCGCCCCGTCCGTGCAAGACAGTCTGCACAGGCGCCGACAAGAATGTCCATGTGGTCTTGCGCCGATCCTGCCACCATGAACTTGTCGTGGACCACATACTTCTTGGCTGCACCTTGGGTCTCTTGGGAAAAAAACAGGTTGCCTTTTGGGAGATATTTGAGCTGGTTGGAACCCTTGTTGGGTCCTCTTGAGGGTCTCGTGGGGGCCGGCGCCATTCGAGTTTGTTGGCGCTTTCGGGGGCCATGTCGAGGTGGAGAGTTCCTGGTGTACCTTCGAGTCTCCTTTTGTTGTTTACCCCTACTTCGGATTCTCTTGGGCGCCTTTCAGGCTTCTTCTGGGGGCTCACATGCCGTCCCGTGGTGGTGATCTTTGGAACCAGTCGGGCCGTCCTGATTTCTTTCGGCGCCCCGAGAGAACAAGAGTGTTGAAACCACATGCAAGTTTGCGGATGATTTTGAGTGAGTTTGTTTTCCGGGGCAGCTCCCCAACTGTTCCCGCCCGCAGCGGGAGAGGAACGAGGGAACCGAGACGTGGGAGGGCACGGGCGGGTTGGTGAAGGGACGGAGGGCGAGGGGGCGCCAGGAAGGGGGTGATTCGGGGTGATGAAAATCGTCCGTCGCACGGGGGGGGATGCGTAACCACCGCGGGCGCGAATGCGTTCAGGGTCATCTGGGAGGGGGTCAAGCGCAGGTGGAGGGCGCGCGGCCGCTTGCCCGTGCACTGTCGTGCGAGCTGTGCGCGAGAGGGCAGTTGTGGGGCATGCGGATGCCCAGCGAGGGTCGGACTCTGTTGACCATTCTCATTTTAATAATCCCACTGGACACGAGGAAGAGCAGCTTTAGGATGGGGCAGAGCCGGAGCAGGGCAGTGGCAGGTGGAAGAGGATGATGATGATGATGATGATGATGATGATGATGATGATGATGAGGAGGAGGAGGAGGAGGAGGAGGAGGAGGAGGAGGAGGAGGAGGAGGAGGAGGAGGAGGAGGAGGAGGAGGAGGAGGAGGAGGAGGAGGAGGAGCATGAGCAGGAGGAGGAGGAGGAGGAGGAACAGGAACAGGAGGAGGAGGAGGGGGCGGAGGAGAAGGAGGAGGAAGAGGAAAAGGAGGCGGGATTCGGCTCTTAAGCAAGCCCCCAAAGAGAGCAATCTTTGCAAACCTGAAATTCGTCCTTCTCTCTCCCTCGTGCGCACCCTCTCCTGCCGCCACTCTCTCGGACTCTCGGCGCCAAGACCACTGGACCACTGCGCGCGCGCGGCTCATCGAACCAGAGATCGGCCTGCAAGCCGTATTCCAGGAGAGCGGGTTCGCGCGTCTGAGTGTGAGCTTGTAGTCAGCGCTCTCCCGATTCAGTAGCGCGAGTCGCGAGCTTCCCGAACCTCCCGACCCGCTGAGGCCTCCTGCGACGTCCTGGAGAAGCTCGCTGCGGACGTCCCTGGTCGCCACGCTGCGACGGCGGTTGGCCTGGCGAATGCCCACCAGGAGGCTTTGCTGTCCGCGCTGCGCTCGCTCAAGGCCACCAGCGCAGGTGCAGTGGCCGCACCATTGGCTGCCGCCGCCGGCAGCAGCCCACTGCGCGTGGCTGCTGCGGAGCTGCTAGAGGAGCTGGTGGGCTGCGAGCGTTCGCCCTCGCTGGCACCGCCGGCGCCTGCGGACCTGCTCGGAGCCAGTGGGAGTCGCGGCAGGCTCCCTGGCGCAGCCACGCCAGCCGCCGACTTGCGGCAGCATGGTACCTGGTGGACGCCAGCTGGGCAGCCTGGGTCGGCAGCGCCCTGGGTCGGCGCCAGGAGCTGCCCCAGGCCACCGTTCGCAGCCTTCCCGCCCGCCTCGTTGCCATCGCCATCCTCGAGTGTGGCAAGCGGCCTCCCTGCCAGAGCGTTGTTTACAGGCACGCCGCGCGCACCACCGGGTGAGGCGGCGGCAGCGGCGCCGCCGCCGCCGCCAGTTGTGCCTGGTGCCCCGTGCACTCGTGGGCTGACGGCTGCGTGTCCGGCTCCGCCAGCGGCGGGAGCATTGCCGCCGCTGCCAGAGCTGGGTAATCTGCTGGCCGGCCCGGGCCCCTGGGCGCTTTTCAGGCCGTACGACCCGCCGCCGTCGTGAGGCGCCCCGCCACCGTGCGCCAGGCTGCAGAGAGAGAGGAGGGTGCGAGGATGACGAGGAGAGACATGCGGTAGGAGAGGAGGGATGATGAGAAGGAGCAGGGGCAGGCTGAAGGGAGGCGAACAAAAAGGCGCGGGAGCCAGCACTCTCGAAGAGATAAGCGGCTCGGGAAATGAGCGTTGCCTTGCAGTGTGCCACAGGTTGAGATCTAGGCTTGATTGATGGCTGGAAGTCGATGGAGGCAACCGTGTTCATGTGCAGGTGTGGCGTATCAGCTGACCGCGCCAGTCGGTGTGCCAAGCATGCCGCGCACAGCGCGAAAGCTGGCTCGGGTCCCCAGAACGAGGGTGCACTGTAGCGAAGTCGCTGGACTTTGCCTGCTGTGTTGTGGAGTAGACAGCTATTTGCCCACCTTGCGTAGAGAATCAGTCGAACGGGCTCATTCACGCACGATGGCGAAGTGCCAACAAGAGGCTGAGTGGCTGGGCTGGGCTGGGCTTGGTGTGCCTGTAGCATCTGTCGGGGGCCGCTATCGAAACGA